TGTCTATGTACATTACTCACAAAGCCCAATTACATATATGCCTCCAGACTTGTAGAAAGGCCAGCAATTATAATCACCTTCTCAATTCCCCTTTAAATCAATTGACAAATCCATTTTTCTTTCACATTGATCAGTAACTAATAATGACCAAGATATTTAATGGCGTTCATCCATTGCATTCTATCCTATACTTGACAGTTGACACCAACTGACCCACCTCAAAACTACACATCCCTTTACTTTCTATAGACAACACCATAAGGGCCATAAAAGCCATAAATATCCAAAACTGCGAATGTAAGTTAGTATTTGATAGTTCTCAACTAACCAATATACGAGCATTGACTGTTTAGGCTGGAAATCAAAGCACAATTTGATATACCACTGAGTTTAATTACACTAAGGTTCAACACAGCCCACATTACAATCCCATGCTTACTCTACCATCAAAATATAACATTGTGTACATGCAAAAAAGGAGTTAAAAGCTTAAAACAACTAATAATAATTGTGTTATAAGCTAAACATTGGAGATCAAAAGCCAAATCCTTCCTAATAGTATAGGCAATTAATAATTAGCTAATCAATGAATGTGATCCCACATTCATTTCACAAGCATCAAAAACAAATTGACAACAACACTCAAAGATAACATTAAAGCATATACTTCGTATTCAAATAGGTTCAAGAGATCAATAACATAAAATGATGTATACCTCAAGAATATCGATAGCGCGAAAAGCTCCAATCTTAATGAGCTTCTTAGTGATATCATCTTCAAACATAAGCTCAATAGTTTCCCTGAAAACACCCAAATTCTCAACCTCAGGAACCTCAATCCTACAAAACCCACCATTCTTCTTGGAATTCTTAATCAACCCATCAAACAAACAACTATTTTCCCCCAAAACCTTAGAATTTAACTCCAAAACCAAACACCCACCACCATATTTCCCCTTCAAACTCAACCTCACATCAAACACACTTTCCTCCTCACTAACCCCACCTTCATCCTCACCCCCATTTTCTCTCTCCTCCCCCAAATCAACCTTTCGAGTTGAACCCAGTTCCTGACTCAGCTCCTGTTCCTGACCCACATTGCTAAGTTTAGGAGGAATCATATCCGAATCAATTGGGGAAACCCGACCCGGAGATAGAATCCGACGACGGTCGATCCGACTAACAATACCCAACCCAGATTTGGAGCTCTGAGGTGAATTAGGGAAAGAATTAAGGGATTTTGACAAGGTTTCAGAAATGGGTGGACCCACAATTTTGTGGGATGTTTTGGAAGAAGAAATCGAAAGGGTTTCAGGGGATTTTGGTGGGCTTTTGAAAGAACAACACCATGAAGAAGAAGATGGTTTTGCAGTGGTTGTAATGGCGGTTTTCCGGCGAAATTGTTGTTCCCGGCGACGACCCTTTTGAGGATTCCGGTAAGAATCCATTGAAATGGGGTTAGATCAAAGAAATTGCAGAGCAAAATTGAGGGAGAAAAGGGGGATTTAGATTGCTTGAATTAGGGTTATGGAATCACTGACAAGTGAGTTGGAAAGGGGAGGAAAGAGAAGAAGAGTAGAGTAGTAAAATTGGAGTATTGAAATTAGGAATTGAATAGTTAAGGGAGAATCTTGGATTATTGTTTGATTATTTTGTTTGATAGTTTTGTTTGGTAATACAAGTATCCGTTTTCTTGTTGGACAGAGTTGCAGTTTGTGAATGGAAGAGAGAGAAGATGAAGAAGAAGGTGGGGGTAGTGTGGTACAAACTACAAAGGTTAAAATTAGGAAAATTTGTTTGATCTAGATTCCAATTTAGTGATAATAATAGCATTTATGTGTGTAATTGGAAAGATTTTAATTTGTTAATAATAATCTTGGATTTTGGTGATCTTACATGGTGGATAAACATTGATGTATCGTTGATTAATCAACTTAAATTATGAAGATAAATTTTGGTGATGTAATCTAAGGATTTAATCTAACAAGTATTATTGCGACATTTAAGTTGTTCGGGTCTAGTCGATTCGATTTTAGTCCGGCTTTAGGTGATAAGTCAATCAATTTGGTTTTCGGACTATTCAAGGATAATCAAATTAGGTCATATATACTAAGGGATTGTTCTCTTACGTTGAAATTCAGTTCAGTTCAGTCCAGTTCAGCTCAGTTCAGTTCAGCTCCTAATTTCCTTCTCTTATAAAATATTCAGTTCAGTTCAGCTCAATTCAGTTCAGTTCAGTCCAGCTGAGTTCAGTCAATGAGAACAAGCCCTAAATATTGTCAAATATCATTTAGATTGTTATGACAATAAATTATACAATGTTAACACATTTGTGTTGGATTAATTGATCCTGGTTGAGCCACACCCTTGTAGTTCATGTATAGTTCTATTATTACGTCTCGAAATACTTATTAATATATATCTACGACAAAGTAAAAGCATATGTTTACCGATATTACTATTTTTTCACACTTGTAAGAGTTATAGATGTACATTGTATTTATTCGTTTAGATATTTTTTTTTTTGAAAAAAAAAAAGATATTCGTTAAGATATGTATGGGATAGTGCCAAAACCGTTAGGGTTAGTCAATTAAAATACGTTATGTTGACAATTATCCGTTATTATGCATATCAACTTACTCTCCATAACAGCCTTTGTCGTGCCCACGTGGAGAGCTGCTTCCGGCCACATAGGCACCTGCTACCTACGAGGTCAACTTGCCACCTATATCCATAGGTGGCACTAGCTTGGTTGTTCTTCTATAAATACCCAAGCATTTTTCATTGTTAAGGTACAATCTTTTTCTCTCTCTAACTCTCTCTTTTTCTCTTAAAACAATCTCTTATCTTCTTTCTTATTCTTCTCATCAAATTGTTAACTTTAGCATTGGAGCAGCTATCCCCGGATAATCCCCCGGATTAGCTAATTTATGTTGACTGTGCATGCAGGTCCTTAATTGGACGGTAAATCTTTACGGATCCCAAGACTCACAGCACCGGAGCTCACCGAGAACAGGATAATTTGAACAAAACTTATTCATACTTCCTATGGAAAGTCCCTTACATCAAGTCATCAATGGTACAATGCACACACCCTTGTAGTTAGAAGTACATGTATGTAGCCTAACATAGTCTAGCACCCTTAAAATCCTAACCAAATTGAAAAGAAAGTATCGTGATCTCAAACTATCACCAAATCAACATAATGAACTTACAAGTTTCTTCCATCTACTTGTAAAAAGTGAATGTTATCATTTAGCTTGCCTCAACTAATTAGGCAAGGATAAAGCTACTTGTTACAAATCTTACACAAAACAAGTTGCAATTATTTGTACTAATTACTTTACATATACGACACTCAAAAGCATAAATAACTCACATTTTATCCCTAAAATTTGGCCAATTCATCTCTCACCAATTTAATCACTATCAACTAACTTTCTAATAATGGAATGTGTAGTAATGTACTTATGTACTTATGTACATGCACGTAATAAATATCTAGTGTTTGATTATGTATATATTTACTAATTATAGTACTATTGCTTAGCTACAAAATTGTGAAGTATTACTATGGTGCAACATTTAATACAGTATTATCACTAATTATTACAATAATTGGCATGATTATTAGGCTAGATGTTTAGTCCAAGAGAAGATTAGAATTAACCTTGAGCTAGTGTTTTATGTAGGAATCAAAGTTTTGTATAAGCAAGTGATTATAAAAATAATCGTGGGGAAACCACTTTTTTCATAAAATTGAAATTTTAGGCTTGAACATTTATACTAAGAATAGACATAAATCTGAGCAGTTAAGTAATGTATGCCCTAACCTCATTTCTATAATGTGATGTCTTAATTAAAGTTCTACCAAAAAGAAGGGAAAAAAAAAGTACTCGTGTACTACTTTTATCATTTGGCTTAATACAAAGTATTGGGGTGATGTTTCTAACCTTCTAGGTTTTGTCCTGTTTCAACCGTAATCATTATTTAGATGATCAATACTTACCCATTATATCTAATTTCTTTTAGATTAATTAAATTTCACAAAAGTAACAAAATTTGTTATTGTATTTTGTAATATATCTATCTAAAATTAAATGACAGGTAGGTCAGAAACAAACATCAACAAAAGTTCTAAAACAAGAGTAGCAGCTAATCTGGTATAATGGTATGTGATATAAAGATAATCCGTCATTAAAAGCTCGTTAAGTAAGATTAATTAAATATATGTTGTACGGCTTTTACCCTAACATGGTGTCATGTTCCACTTTGAAGTTGATACTTTTTTGCAAACTACTTGCCAATAGAAATATGATCAAATTGACGTGAAAACAAAGAAGGCCATAACGTCCAATTTAAATATTATGCATGGATATAACATATAGTAGTACAAATTAAAGACGAACAACCTTATTTTTCTTTGTGATCATGAACATATTATATAGTATTATAGTCTTAATATTATTTTTATACATCAAAGAATCAATTTGAAAAAGACTTAATACAACAATGATAATATTCCACGCGTTAACGTTACAATGGAAGTCTCGTTCAATTTTGTGGTCACCAATTTGTTTACCATTTTAACTTTGCTAAAAAACTTCTCTATTAATTTTTTTTTCTATATATAAATTACAAAAATATTAGGTGGCACCAAATAATTCGTTTAGTACGAGGCAATATGTAACAAGGCAAGTTCACCTAAATCTCTTTATTAAACTATAATTTATATCCAAAAGTCGGTCTAAAAATATTTTTTAAAATTCACTTTCATCAAATTCCAAACAAATTGGATATACCCATCTAAAAATCAAACATTTACCGCTTGCCACGTGGATAATCAACCCCATACTAGGTTACCACGTGGTTAGACGAATTACTTGCCACGTTGTACCTAGTATTTGGTTAACCGTCTTAAGCAGTTAATTAGTTAAATTGTTATTTTTCCTCATACATACAATTATAAATACCATAGGTTATAATATAATATAAGGTCCAAGTTTGTCACACATTATATATAAGAGCCAACCCAATTTTTATGAAAGTATTAGGTTGTCTGTCTCATCACATACAATTCTCTTGAATTTATTTATATATCCAACATTAAAAGAGATGACAGAAGTTGTACCAATTATGAGGATTGATAGAAAATCATCAATTGAATTTGAGCCTCGTACTCTTAATTTCCAACAAATTCAATCTGCAAGGGTATGCATTTGGTGTATTTTTTTTCAATCTCGAGTTTCATTTTTTGTTGTCATGAGTTCGATCTATTTTATTCAACATTTATTGTTTGATCTAGTCGTAGAAATTACATCTTATGACAAGTTATCTATATATTATTTGAATAATGAGAGATGATAAACATATTTATATTATGGATGATTTAGAAGAATTTTTAGAAATATTGTGAGAGATTTGGTCTGGATTATGCATGAGTCATTTAGTCATAATTAATTTAATGAAAAATGAAACTTGTATATATAATTTAACTTTTTTGTAAAGATTAAATTTTTTGTTTGTAGAGATGTAAAAACAACAAGTAAAATGGGCTTTAATCAAATGTGATTTATTCTTTTTTATCGAAGAGAGTAGTTTATTCTAGACGGAATATATGTAATCATTATTGACGTTCAGCTAATTAAATTTATAATACAATTTGCCATTTCATTAGGTTTTTTTTTTTTTTTTTTTTGTAAATTATTATTACTTGTATTTTCTAACTTATTTTTGTGATTTAATTTTGCAGGATGCAGCTTTGTGCGTATTAAATTCTAGGAGTATAGAAGAAGCAAATCGAATATTTACAGAGGTAATTAGTAATTATTGAAGATTCATAGCATTGTAATATGAAATATTAGCAGATTTAGCATGGTGTTTTTGTAATAAAATAAACGTTTTGCACTACTGAAATGATTCTTTTAGCCATAGTCCATATGTAATGTAAGTTATACTTGTATAACACATGGGCTTAGCCTCATTTTGTAAGGCAAGATCTAAAAAGGGCCCAAATTTTATGACTATTTTTATATACTACCAAAAAAAAAAAAAAAAAAAAAAATAATCGAATTCATTTTCTTTGTACTTGAATAAATGTGGATTTTTATATATATATAACAAATACTCTTAATATTTTTGTAGTATATCATATGTGTTTTTAAATTTATAGAGATATTCAGATGTATAAGTGATTTATATGGGTAAAAAAAAAGATGTATAAGTGATTTATAAGTGTTATATCTATTTATTTATCAATGATTTTATGAAGTGTCTTTTTGTTATAATTTTTATTTTTTTTTAATAATGAGATATGTGAATGTGACATATTAGATAGTTACTTTCAAATGTCATATAAGTCAACATAAGTAAGATAGTCAGATAGTGTAAACATAAACGGATAGAGTATAAGTTTACCATGTACATCAATACATAAGACGTAATTGATGTATGTCATAACTTGATATTGTAGGGTATGGCGCCCGTAGTAACCGGTGCAAGCCGAACTACCTCATGCTCAATCGCAACGAGTGGATGTAGAGATGAAGAAGAGGATGTGTATCAAACATATAGCAATCAACATCTCATAATGGACACTTCAAGGGAGGCATTCACTGCTCCATTTTAAGCCCTTTATTAGTCATGCTTTCAGTTTCTCTTCATGTAGTACTGTAGTAGTGCATTTTAACCTGCTTCTGTAAATATAGCAGCAATCCAGCATCTTTTTTGTTCCTTTTTAATACGTTACTAGGAAGAGTCTTTTTAGTTAAAGAAACAAACAACAAACTTTGTATATTTTGTTCAAGGTTTATATGGACCGCCTAGTAGCAATTGTTACAATGTATTTGTTCATGATTATCAATAGTTGTTGGGTATGCCTCAAAATTTTTAAGGCCTAATATCTTGTTGGAGTGTTTGTGCGTGTTCTAGAGGTTTTTGGAAAAACCAAGCAAAATTACTTCGTATTTTCTTGAACTTAATAGGCTAGGAGTTATGAATCAATAAACTTGAGCCTTTTGTCTTTAAATTTAAAATTTTCAATTGAATTAGTCAAACGTTGTCCAAGTAACAGTGCAAAATTGATTTAAATTGACTATTTTCGTATCGTTTTAGTCATTTAGCAAATTAAAAAATTCCTTAAGCATGAAATTATGAAAAATTTTAGCATTCTAGCCGTACAATATTGTAATGTTAAATGTAAAGCTTTTTTTTCATAAATGTATAGTACAGAGTAGTATATAGGACTTTGAATTTTTTTTTTTTTTTTTTTTTTTTTGAAAGAATATAGGACTTTGAATTATTCTTGATATTATGGGATAATTTAAAAAGAGCATCATTAAATATAGTTATTGTATTAAAAATTAGAAGGGTGAGGGAAAGATTGAAGGTGTGGTGGTGTCAATGGATTGAGCTTTTATAGACGAGTACAGATAATAGGAGGAATCCAATCAGCCAACCTTCATCCTTCCATTAGTTTTACTTATTTTTGAACTTCCACCGTATTTGTGGTTTAATATTGTAAGATGAAGCTATATGCGTATTTAAATTCAAGGAGTATAGAAAAACTGAGGTAATTTGTGATTATTCAAGGCTTATATCATTAATAGCAAGCTAGATATTTTCGTAATATAACAGAATGAAGTTTAAATTGAAAAACTGGAAGTTTGAATTGAAAGTTTATACAGACCACACAGACTTCATATGAAACCATATGCATAACTTAGAGTACTACAGAGTAGAGAGTTTCTAAGACTCTCAAGTTACTTTAACAAATCATTCATTTCAAAGAAGCCAGGACTAGAAGGATCGCCCCAATCAGAAGGATCGACCAAATCTCCCAATCCTCTGAAAATATCACCATCTGCTGCATCCTCAGTAAAAGACGCCAATAGCCTGTCCAATTCATCCTCTGAAGTCGGTAAAACACTAGCAGGTTCCATAGAAGTTGCTGAAGCATTTGAGACACTTGCAGATAAAGGAGCAGCAATTGGCACATCCAAGGAAGTTGCAGCAGCAATGTACGGAGTAGTTATAGCAGCAATGGTGCTTGGAGAAGGCTCTTCAGCAGCAGCAGCAGTGGCGCTTGGAGAAGGCTCTTCAGCAGCAGCAGCAGTGAAGGGAGGACCAACTGGTGAAGAAACCTTTGGAGCACCCAAAGACAAGGAGATAACAGAATCAGCAACACATGGGCTGTTATCAACACGCCCACAATCCATATCAAGACCAGACTTACTCCCCTGCACATTACCCTCATTGTCGCTGTCCCACTCTTCTTCAATGAAATGAGCCCCATAGTCTTCTCCATTCTTTGGTCCTGCACCACTCTTTTCGAAGATTTTACAGATGACGTATGAATCCTGAGGCACACCTTTGTCAGCAAGAAGTTTATCAGCCAATATATACTCATGCATGACCCAATTGGTCCTTTCACCCTTCGGAGCTTTTCCCATGTGGAAAATTAAAGTCTTAATCTTCCCAACATCCCGTGAAGCATACTTTGTAGGCGAATCAGTCCCTGTCGATTTCCAATATCCCCTATTAGTAGTCCTGTTCACTCTGCCTCCAGATGGGTATTTCCTTGACCTAGGACAGAAGAAATACCAATATCGATCCTTAGTTTTCAGATGTGCCATTGCAGGAAGATCCCAGGGTTCAAACTTATACACATCAATCTCAGAAATCATTTGAGGACCCAGAGATTTACCCAGAACCTTCCTCTTCAGAAAAAACATGAACAACTCCTCATCTGTTGGTTGAAATCGAACCCCCGGTGGAAAGGACTTATTAAACAATAATTCTTCCATGATTCAGCACTAGAAAAGAACAAGCAGTCCTCTTCTTTTTAAACTTTCAATCTACTTCGAATTCAAGAACTTTGAATTGTAACAATAATCAAAGGAGAGAGAGGGATCAGAGACAATCAACTCACCCTCCAATGATTAAGCCAACAGCCAAAACTTTAAGAACCCAACCACCAACGTACCCTTGTGAAGAAACAACGATAATACAGAATGATCCACAAATTTTTCTTCTTCAGATTTACAATAGACATGGAGGTCTGGAATTTAGCACAAACAACATATTCAGTAAACAACAAAATCACAATCGCTCCAAAAATCCAATAAAAAAGTCAACAAAATCCACGACCATCAAATTGATTGGATGATCAAACTAGACTTGTAAAATCACATAGAATTATTCACGCCTAAAAAATTGAACAGAACCGAATAACAAAATTCAAAACAACACAATAATCCATCTTAGAAAACCCTAAATTGACTAAATGACACCAAAATCAACGATGAACCCTAAATTATGTAATCGATGATCGATCATAAAGAAATATAGTAATCGAAGACAGAAAAATCGCATACCCAAATTCAAACCAGAAATACAAAGATCCATTAAAAAACCCAAATTGATTAAACAAAAGATAACTTAACGATAAACCCTAAGTCCCTAACATTTGAAATTGAAATTCAACGATTAAATATCGTAATACCCAAATTCAAACCAATACACAAAAACCCACCTGAGAAAAACCCTAAATTGACTATACAAACGATCATCTAAACAATAAACCCACCATGAATACAAATGAGATATCTTTATCGAAAGAAAGATAAACTTTTTATCCTACATCCGGGTGTATTATCAAACAATATAATACCCTAAATCAAACCAAAAACACAAAAACCCACCTTAGAAAAAACCCAAAATTGATAATACAGATGATCACAAAACAAATAACACTAAATGAAAAACCGCATTGCCAAATTCAAACCAAAAATACACAAACATACCACATAAAAATCTGAAATTGACTAAACAAACGATCAAGTAATTAAACAATAAACCCTAACATTTGAAATTGAAAATCGACGATTATAAATAAAAAAAAAAAAGTAAGAGAGCAAGATTATACCTAAGCTACTTCAATGAAGGAGAGAGAAATTCCTCGGAGATTGAGAGTACGCGGTTGAATTGGGAGAGAGTTGTTTGTGAAGTGAATAGATGAGAAGCTGAAAAATGAGTACTCGTTATATATAGACTGGAGTGAAAGACTAATGATGAGAATGTATTGTCAATCGTCTGATCATAAGATATTGACGGTTCAGATTCTTTCTAAATCAAGTTTGGTTTTTTTTATTTTTTTTTTATTTTTAAGGGAATTCTAATCAGGTTCTTTATTTTATGGAATGCTTTTTTTTTTTTTTAAAAAAAAAAAAAGGAAAAAAAAAAACCAATTTTATGGAATGTTCTTAGAATCTTAGACACAACATTAGAAAATGATTTTTATACTTCGTATTTAATTGCTTTGTACATTTTTGTTGATTAAATCAAATAGATTAATTTAGATACTAATCTCTTTAGCTTATTTTTAGTTCTGTTCAATTTAAAAATGTAGTTCGGTTCAGCTCAGTTCAGGTTAGAACAGGCCCTTACAAGTATAGTACCACGTATCACTAGTCACAACTCCGCTATTGACGTTCCCTATTAATTAAATAAATATAATATGGATTTTACTACCAAACGACCCTAAGGCATTGAATAAGCATTTAAAATATTTTCTAAAGGGTAGTATTAATTTGAGAAAGCATGACAAAATCAAATATTGATCTGTATAATTAATGTTCACTTTAATTTAATCTTTCTATTTTTAGCTAGCTTATTTAACATCCCCAATACGTTTGTTATTATTCAAAATTCAAATGGAAGAAATTGTATGAAGGGAGTACATTTTTTTTGTTTGAAATTGAAAACAAGCACATAGATCAAATTTTATTACAATTCGTGCTCTAATATCTACTCGTACGACGGTTAGAATTACTGTGTTTTAGACTTTCAGTTACACTTTGTTAAAATTAACAAAAACTGTTATAAAAACAAATACGGAGTAACTAGCAAAATCGACCCTAAATTGACCAACATAATTTAGAAAGACAAATTATTTGGAAATTAGAATTTGCTGAAATTTATTTCTTCTTATATACTTTCGTATAAACTTCTTTTAGTAAATTGACCAACATAATTTAGAACATATTCATGACATTAATACAAGTTGCACTTGGTATTAAAGCAAATTAACGACAATTGTTATGTAGTGTACAAAGTATTTCCCGTTCAGTTGTTGAAAGATAAAGATAAGCTTGGAATATCTATTGAAAAGTACCCGTAGAATAATTAGTCTACAACTTATTAAAAAAAAAGGAGTATTATTAAAATACTTTGGCTTCTAAGTTGTGAGTCTTGTGACGTGTCGTACAAATGAGAGACTTCGGCCAATCAAAATTCATAAAATGGAGTTGCCAAGTTGTATTAAAGTATTATATAGTGAATTAGTGATGTAAGGCTTCAACAACAAGCTACGTAATTATTTGCTCGGTTGGCTCACCACGTTTTTTTTTTTTTTTTTTTTCAAATGAGGTTACAAGCACCAAAGGAAGGAAAAGAACAAAAAAGAAAAACACACGACAGAAATAAAAAGCTACGAAAATAAGATACTAACTACCTAGGGAGGAATAAGTCGTGGCATGGCCCAAAAAAGGTTGGGCTATTGACAATTTACAAAGCCCAAAATTGTTTTATTTTTTTATAATGTAAGAAAAATAATTATTACTCGTAGGGCCTGTTCATATTTACTGAACTGAACTGAACTGATTGGAGCTGAGCTGAACTGAATTAAAAAATTAAAATGCATAAACTGAACTGATTAGAGCTGAACTGAACTGAACTGATTAGAGTTGAACTGAACTAAACTGATTGGAGTTGAACTAAACTGAACTGAAAATAAGTAAATATGAACAGGCCCGTAATCTCGTACGATGTATTTGATTTCTAATGTATTGTCCAAGTAAAAAAGTTTTGTGCAATGTGTATATTGTTTAATGAATATTTTAGATTGCGTATAGTCAATCAATATGAACTACCCTTTGGAATAAAAGTTTATAACACAATTACACAAGCAATATTGTATTGTACAAACAAAATTTGTAAAAAACTTACATATAATACAAAAATGAAATTGACAAACTCATTATTCAAGGAGACGGTTTTCCTAAATTTATTTTGACCTTTTTTTAGTTGTGTTTTTCCTAAGGTTGAATACGTGGTTTAGATTTTTGGTTTGAATCATATTTTCTTTACTCTATAGTTTTCATTATGAACCAAGTTTTTCTATGAGTGGAAACCATATGTAATTTGTTTATTTTGGGGGAAAATTAGCAAGTTTATAGAAATAGAGTCAAAATTTTGTATTGTATTCCCTTAACTGCTTTACACCCTGTCCTTTTAAGGCAAGAGTATCCATTTGATATGTACTTGTACTAATGTACTAAGAAGATCAGAAAAAGAAACATATCTTGTCAAAGGCACATCTAACGTTAACTCAATTACTTTTTCTGATAAAAATGTAATTTTGGATTGCATTGTATAGAATTGACAATAATATAGTGTAGGTTTTGTATACTACTTCAGTTTTTCGTATACCTAATAAGATCGTTCATTTCAATAAACGAGTTGTCTAAATCCTCTAATCCTAGAAAAATGTCCTCGAAATCTTCTGCATCATCAGTAAAATGCTGCAGAAGTCTGTCCACCTCGTCTTCTTCTGACACATCCAAGGATAAAGGACTAAAAGGAGCAGCAATAGGCACATCCAAGGGAGCAGCAATAGGCACGTCCAAGGAAGTTGTGGGGGAGATGTATGGGGTACCCATACAAGTAGCGGTGCTTGAAGTTGGAGCAGCGAGGTAAGGAACACCCATAACAGCAGTAGTGGTGCTTGAAGTTGTAGCAGCGATATATGTAGTACCCATAACAGCAGTAGTAGTGCTTGAAGTAGCAGCAGCGATGTGTGGAGTACTCGTAACAGCAGAGGTGCTTGGATAGTGCATATCAGGAGCAGCAGTAGCAGCAACAGAGGTGAAAGGAGTACCAACACACCCACAACTCATATCACAGGACACTAGACCAGATGTTCTCTCCTGCACATTCTCATCAGAATCGCTGTCCCACTGTTCTTCCACAAAACGAGCACCATATTCTTCTCCATTCTTTGGTCCTGCACCACTCTTTTCAAAGATTTTACAGATAGCATACGAATCCTGAGGCACGCCTTTGTCAGCAAGCAATGGATCATTCAAAACATATTCATACATCATCCAATTAGTTCTTGCCCCATTCGGAGACTTTCCATTGTGGAATACCAAATGCTTGATCTTTCCTACACACCGTTCTTCATACTTTACCTCCTTGTCCACTCCAGTCGATTTCCAATATCCATTTACAGCGGTCCTGCTACTTCTTTTTCCAGTAGGGTATTTCATCGAGCGAGGGCAGAAGAAATACCAATACCGATCCTTAGTCTTAAGACATGCCATCTCAGGAAGATCCCAGGGTTCAAACTTATACACATCAAGCTCAGAAATCATCTGAGGAACACTCAGAGATTTACCTAGAACCTTCCTCTTCAGGTAATACATGAACAACTCCTCGTTCGTTGGCTGAAATCGAACCCCTGGAGGAAAAGACTTAACACCTTATGATCCTTTCATAATTAAGTACCACCAAATTCTCCCAGAAACTTTGAATGATCAAATGATGATCAACTAAAGGATGATCAACTAAAGGGTGATCAACTAACTAATCAACACCAAAATCTACGAACTACGAAACCAACCGCCAACGATGAAACACAAGAATCCACAAACTTATTCTCCCCCGATTGACAAAAGACATGAGATCTGGAAAATCAACATAATCAATCATCAACAAACAAACAAAATCACAACTTTTCAAAACAATCAACCAAAAACAGGCCCAAAAAAATTTAACTCAATTATCAAATTATACTCGAAATTCAGATAAATGTCTAGACTTCAACGTAAATTGCAACGAAATTATAAACAAAAATACAATAATCTACCCGTAAAAAAAACCCTAAATTGACTACACTAACGATCAATTCAATTATAAACCCTGAATCGTGAAATTCGTTATCAACTATCAAAGAAACTGATATTCGACTATAAAAATGCAAACCAAAATCCAAACCCTAAAAAAAACCCTAAATTGACTATAATCGATCAAAAATCAACGATAAACCCTAAATTGACGATCAAAATAACGATAAACCGGAAAATGTGAATTTGACAATCAACTCAACGATAAAACCTAAATCATGAAACTGATTTCGAAGATTAAAATAATCAGAAGAAAAAAAACAAGAACTTACTTCAGAAGCTAGGTATTTCAATGGATCAGAGAAAAAGGTATGATGAATTCAAAATTCGCGCTTCAATGAAGGAGAGAGAAAGTGTTGCAGGGAAAAATAAAAAGAATGGTTATATAGGAAAAAAGATGAATGACGCGGTTTTTTACAACCGTCAGATCTTATTCAATCTAAAGATATTGACGGTCACGATTTATTCTTGTTATATTTCGTATATTTTATCTTTATTGAGACCGTTAAGACTTATCTGAGTACAATAAATGTATGGAAAGTTTATGAAAGATGGGAGTATCTAAGATAAATAAGTGTAATCTAAGATATAAAAATATATCCATTTATTTAATCTTGTAGGAATGTAGGATTAAACCCTGTTAAATAATCGTAAACAAGTTTAATGAAGGCTACTGCTACTCCAAGTAATAAGTAATACTCTGTAAGACCCTATTTAGTTCACCTTATATTTGCTTATCTAAACTTATCTGATTTGGGTTGGTGTAGTCTGATCTGAATGTCAAATTTGACCAAACTTTGACCTTAAATATACGATAATCTATACGGAAAAAATATATCAAGTGCAGTCTTGTTAGATTCGTAATAATGTGTACTTTATTAATATGTGATTTTCATAATTTTTTTCATTACGAAATTATAGATATTTATCGATAACAAAAATGCACATAAAACAATGATCTGAACTTTTTTTTTTTTTCTGAAATAAGTAAAAATAAAATGAATTAAACAAGGCCTAAGGGTCTGTTCTCTTACGTTGAAGTTCAGTTCAGCTCAACTCCTAATTTCCTTCTCTTATAAAATATCCAGTTCAGTTCAGTTCAATTCAGCTCAATTCAGTTCAGTTCAGTTCAGCTGAGTTCAGTCAATGAGAACATACCCTAAGTTAAATCTAATCCATATGAAAGGATGGACGGTGTCATATAGCTCATAAGTTAGGGAATTAGGGGATAATAAATAGTCTTACCAATTATATAATAAATTTAATATTAAGAAAAAGATGTATTGCACGTAGTATAATTAGTCCACAAATGTTTATTATATACGTACTCGTAGTATTTATTTATTACTTGGTATTAAAATCTATTTTAAAATACGTCAAGAAAGTCATGCATATGATGAATACTAGCCAATCAGAATTCAACATACTAGTAAAAAGAGTTGCCAAGTTTGTAGTAGAGTGATGTAAAGTCTTGAACAATAAGCTGACCCATACATCAGTATGAACTATGAAGGTCCAAATCAAGCCCAGAAAATGAAAAGTAATTAGTTGGGCCGCTGACGAAATCTGATAAATTTAGAATACAAATGTAATAAATGAACTTGGTTCATCATAGATGGATATTTGATGGTACGTATTTTTTTGAAACAATGGATAATATTTTGATGTATTGTAGACTTGTAGTTACACCTTCATTTTAGATTTAACATTTTCTTTTTCACTTTTGTTAATGCATGTCTTTGGCTATTAATATCAATAATTAAATAAATAGATTAAAGTTTGGAAAGTGTAAGTTAAGACATACATGATAATATTCGTCCTTGACAAAAAATATCAACAAAAATAGTTTGTGAATTTCTACATGTTTTATAAAAAAATACTACGTAATAAACAAACAAAGGAGGCACATTAGCTATATTATTTTTCCATATTGCATAAACTTATTTAATATGAAGTACATTTTGAGAGAAGGGTCTCTTCCTATTGTATCGATATGAGAGTTGAAAATTCAATAATCATATGATCATATCAATCTCGTACAATAGAGATTATAAATCTCTAATCTTACTGAATTATAATCCATTAGAAGTAAAATATAAAATAATCATAGAAATATCCAGCAATGATACTAACACAAGAATATAATCTAGTGATAAATTTAGTTAACCGTCCAATACAGGCGAGACTATAAATGCTAACATTGGAAATGACCCAGAACAATTTTGTTAAATTGAGTCATAAAATCATTTTCTTAACGAAAACTATTTTATGAAATTATGAATTTTGTGATAAATTGAAGAATAGATTATTGATTAACAAGTTTCCTCTTTACTTTGTATAAGTAAACTTCAAAAACCAGGGCCCTCCTATAAACTATAGTAGCTTTTCTTAGAGCCCTATGCGATCGGCCACCATGCACTGCTACAGATGCTCAGAACCACTCCTAGTATAGCTAATCAAGTCTACATGCACATGGGTGATGCTGAACTAGCTTAGGTTCAAGACACCAACATGTCGATGCTCGATATAAACGAGTTTAATCATTCGTACTAACAATAGGACGACAATCACAGCGAAAAACATTGAAACACCGTTGAATGGTACCCCCTTGCCCTTCATCCTCACCCTTACCCATGCATCCTCTAAATATTAAACTACATAATGTAGATTTTTTTAGACTCTTCAAATTTTATTGGTACTATGCTAATATTGATAATAATATTATCCCTTGTCACTAAAATATATTTTTACATTATTATTATATTTCTCATTATTGTTGAAATTATTAATGTGTCATATATAAAATCGTCATTTCTATTGAATTAATGGTATAGTCTTTGAGATAAAAGAGTATTGTATAAGTTAGTTTTGTACCATAAAATTATTCTCAATTTGTTTATTTTAATTTGTTTGTTTAAACTCACGTAACATAATAATAATAATAATAATAATAATAATAAATTAATTAATTAATTAATTAATAAATAAGGTAATATGTGGAATGTGGTTACTAGTAATTCACTCGTTTTTAAAAAAAAAAAAATATATAACAGTAGAAGAGATGTAGAATGTATTAAGAAAATTAGGGCCATAATGCAATTGTGAGAATGTTAAGAAACAATCCAAAATAAATTATGATAAAGGCCGGGCTTCAAGCCCGATTTCAGGTAGCACACCCGCACTTCCACGTAATAACTCTACCAAAGGTGATCCTATTACAGGAATAGCATCCGGTACGCCCGTTACAATTTTGACTGCCCAATAACCAATTTGGTCCCGAGATAAGGAATAACCAGTTACGCCAAGAGAGGCGGTCAATACAGCCAGAACCACACCCGTAACCCAAGTCAATTCGCGGGGTTTTTTAAACCCACCGTGAGATTTTAAAATAAGATATTATACTCCGTATATACATTGAGTTGATAAGTCAAACCTTACTAGTATTAGTACTTCCAAAAACATTTTAAGCTAAAGCCATAGTCAGTTAGAGGTGATCATTTGCGGGCTTGGACGGGTAGCGGGCCGAGCCTATGCTTATTTTTTTGTCTAACGGGCTTTATGTAGCAAACCCGAACCCTTTTATGCGGGCTTGATACTTTGTCCATGCCCGCTTGTTAAACGGGCCGGGCTTGCCCGCGGGCTAACGGGCCTTAATTTTTTTATAACACTAACTAATTTTTTATTATTTACTTGTGCTAAAATTATTTTGGTATAGTTGTCTTATAATTTTTTGTCCACAAATGGTAATAGATTTAAAAAAAAAAGGTTGAAATTATGACATATGTTATAAATATATGTAAGATAAAACTTATTTAAAAAGTGTTAATGATAAATTAAAATGAAAAATTGTAACTAATAAAAGCTTATAGTTCAATATAGTCTCTTTGCATTTATTTTCAAAAATACACAAAGTATGTCATAACTAACTAATTAAATAAAATTATTATAATAAGAATGTTATTATTATTATTATTATTATTATTAAATTAATAAACGGGCCGGGCGGGCTAGCCCGCGATACATATTTCTTGTCCATACTCGCCCATTTATGTTAACCGGTCGGGCCTAGCCCGCCCAAAAATCCAATTTTTTTAAAAAAGGTAGTCCAAGCTCGCCCTTTTGCGGGCCGGGTTGGATGGGCTTAGCGGGCCGTCCCGCCCATGAACAGCTCTATAGTCAGTCAATAAGGCTTAAGTTGAGGTTGTACATTTAAAGTTTTCAAACCCAAAGCACAATATTAAAGATTAAAAGCATGTGCAATTCAAGCTTAGGTACAAAGATTAATCAATAATACTATGGAAAACAAGGGTCAAAATGAGGTCTGCAACATGTATTAATTCATCCCTTATTCGATCTACCAATATCCTTTAATATAAGCTATATACCCCTAATCAACTGACAATTTCTATACTTATTAGCCAACAAATCAGGATTATTCTAATTAATTATGTGATCCACTTTATTCATAAGCACATACAAGTTTTAATTCACGGGTTTATAGCCAAGTTCTTTATTGTCATTATTATTATTATATAATTATACTTAGGATTTTTTGTGAAAAACTACTTTTTATATACAACTTTTTTGTGAAAAACTACCTTTTAAAAAAAATGTTGTAAATGACTACCTCTTTTTTAAAAAATATTGTAAATGACTACCACTTGCCGGAACCTGGCCGTTGACTCACTTTTCCGGCGTTGACCACCCCATGTGGCGGCCTTTTCTCGTTTTCGACCACCCTCACCCCTCCTCCTCCTCCTCCTCCATTTTCTAGTTTTCGACCACCCGTACCCCTTCGCCGTCACCTTCCCCTCCCTTGTCCAGTTTCCGACCACCCCTACACACTTCCGACCGCCGCGCTTGTTGCCCCTCCGCCTCCCTTTTCCAATTTCCGGCCATACCCTACCCCTTGCAGCGCTCCTTTCTCCTAGCCCTCCTTAAACCTTATTGCAACCCTAGCCGGCCTCAAACAAATTATCAATTTCCGGGCACTCCCCTCCCTACCCCCACTTCCATTGAATCCGGCAGCCCTTTCCTTGCCAACCCCCTTTAATTTACTACTCATCATTCCCCCGAACATCTCGAAACCCTTCCCCTTTCCCTCGATTCTTGATTTCCGACCAACCCCTCAAATATATTATTAATTTTTAGTCAAATTTCATCCCACCCACGCATCAAAAACCCTAATTTTTAGTCAAATTTCATCCCACCCACTCATCAAAAACCCTCGAAATCAAACCCACCATCCTTTCCTTTCCTTTCCTCAATTGAGGAGTTATGATGTTGTTGTTTGAGGGTCGCGGAATTGGGGAGCAATTGAGGGTTTGTGTTAGATTTGTCGGGGTGGAGGCGGTTTCAAGTGGGGTTGGGTTGATTTTGGGATGCGTGGGGGCGGTTGTAAGGGTGTTTTGAGGTGGGTTGAGGTGTTGTAGTGGTGGGGCGGTGGTCAAGATGGCGGCATTGCTGGTGGTGCATGCATAGTAAAAAAAAGAAAAAAAAAAATAAAGGTCATGTTCGGCACGTGGGTGGTCAACGCCGGAAAAGTGAGTCAACGGCCAGATCAGATTTCGGCAAGTGGTAGTTATTTACAACATTTTTTAAAAAAGACGTAGTCATTTACAACATTTTTTTTTAAAATGTAGTTTTTCACAAAAAGTTGTATATAAAAGGTAGTTTTTCACAAAAAAATCCTTATACTTATTGTTAGTGAGCAAGATTCATTATGATATTGTTAAGTGCATGCCAAATATATTATTGACTCCTTTAATAAAGAAATACCAAACCTAAAATTAATTAATACGCACTAGTAAATTAAAGGCGAGGATTCACAAGTTGTGTACTTGTGTCACGCACTAGACGGAAACCTCAAGCTAAAGACTACAGTTTGAAGATAGCTTTTAGATAACGATACCCATCTTCTTATAAAGTTTTCGAGTGGATGTCACCTTCTTAAACTGTTTATATGTGTAAAGCCGACTAGCATGTATACTCCCGTCTTCTTTCTAAGTCGTCCCTTTGAGTTTGATTTATATAGTCGTATTATACATGATAGTCGTATTATTTAACGCATAATCACTTGTCAAAGCAAAGTTTATACTTTGTAATTCACATTATACTACTCCCTAATATATAGGAAAAAGATGTAAAAAATTAAAAATAAATGAAGGATTATTAGGGAGAGATATTAGTAGCTACTAGCTAGATATTTGAGATAATCTAAAATATAATTTCGCTCGTTTTCTTTCGCTTCAAAAAAAAGCTACATATTTGAGATAATCTAAAATATTTACTGTATCTTTATATGATTCTAGAAAAAGATCATAATGATAGACTTGAGATATTCATAAAATGATTAAAATCTCAAAATATTTCTTTTTAAAAAATCCTAAAAACATAATGTATCAAAGTTTATAAAGGATAGATTATACTTCATCTGTTTTTTTTGTAGTTACAACACTTCTCTTTTCACGCTTGTTGATACATGTTTTGAATCGTTAATATCTTTAATTACCAATATGTAAAAATTATAAATTTTAGATATTAAAATTATATAATTTGAAACGAATCTAACAAGATCCCACATGACTATATTTTTATTTATGTATAAATCGTTAAACCTAGTCAAAGTGAAATACATAAATAGTGTAAAAATTAAACTGTTACAACTATAAAAAAAAAAAAAAACGAAGGAGGTATATACGTAGAAAATAACTGAGATACTAATGTAGTGTAGTTATGTACCTTAAGATTTAAGCATGTCAAAAATTAATCAAAACCAAATAAAAAGCTAATGAGCGCCCTCGAGACGTTAGATAAGAGAATTAAAGTGCAAATTATTAGAGTAAAATTAACATTAATTACACCGAACGACGCGTAATTTTGTCATGAATTCCTAACTTAATATCATTTCAACCAATATAATTTATCCTTATCTAACGTACTGGAGCGCTCGTTAGCAAGATCCTTAGAAATAATATCATTCTTTTAGTTGACTAAATTATTGAAATAACAACTTATCAAAAAAAGAAAGACAAATTCGATTTGTAGTTTATTTTTATCAAGTGGCTAAAATTAAATGGATTAAAAACTCAAGCATTTATGATTCAAAGAAAATAATTGAATAAATTTATTTCTGTCATACAGAAAATGTGTCTGTGACACTTCGTTTAAGAAAAGTTTGCGTAAACGAAATTCTGACGTCGATCAAAATCAAACAATCCAACACCAACGGCAATGATTATGACAGTCACTTACAGGTGTCAACGATGAGTGATACTAGCATTACTAGTGTACTAGTGAACTTTCCACCATTAGTTCTACTTAACTAAACTCTACATTCGTTGCGTGATCTACGGGTAACATCCAACAATACCCACCACAACAACGATACACCTTGTACAAATCCGTAGCCTCAAAATGATAGGGTCGATTGTATTTTAAAAATACCTGTATTTTATGTTGTTTGTTTCGATCTCAATTTCACATTTATTTTAATCATGTGTTACACTTTTTACAACAACAACATCAACAACAAAGCTTTGATTCCAAAATAATTTGAGGTGGGCTGATATAAATCGTTTGAAGAAATTGTACAATATGTAAAAAGGACACTTTTTAAAACAAAAAAAAAAAAAA